TGGCTCCCGGGGCCATTCCCTGGATCCTGTGTCCAGGTCTTCACAGTTTCTTAGGCAGCCCGGCCTGTGACAGTGCATCTCTCTGGGATGCGCTGGAGCTGATGCTAACAGCCCAGGACAGCTACCCAGAGGGCGGCTGCACAGACCTGGGAGCTGCCCTCACTGTGACAGCTCGGCCTGTCGGCCTGAGTGTGATCCAGTTCCAGAGGTATTTTCACAAACTTAAGAAATCACCCTCTTCTCGAGGACGTACATTTCTCAGCATCATTCTAATGCACCGCTTACATATATAGCATATGAATTCACACACATAGTGGATAATGCGTGGAGGTTTCCAATAAATCATTTTAAAAACTTACTCTTTTCCCAGGAGGACCTGGCGGGCCCGCCTCACCAGAGGGGCCGGGAGGACCCTATAAAATGAGAAAAATACGTTAAAGCCACTGGGCGCTGTTTTACGGCCACAACATTTTTCAGAATCAGGACTGAAACCAACCCTCCTGCTTCATCTCCCCACATCTCTCTCCTGGAGAACCTGCGCCCTTCTGCAGTTACCTCGCCTGCCTTTAGGGAACTGTAGGCAGACACCTGGTGAAGCCACAGTGAAAAATCCCTCAGAGCCGGAAGAAAGTGGATCAGAAATACTGTGTTCCTTTAAAAAGTGCTCATCTCTCTCTGACAAGCATCCAGTAGACATGCTAACTATAGAAGCACGTGGGCGGTAATGCCACTCAGATCGCATACATCTGTGCAGCCATGGAGCGCTGCGTCTCCACCCTCCCTGCGCCACGCCAGCATCGCTGCGCCCAGGAGCAGGCACCTGCCAGCGATGGCCCTGATGCCACCTGCACAGAATGAGCCCGAGCCCCGCGGGCAGATCTCCAGGGGGGCGCTCTGGACACGAAGCTGTGCTCGGGGAGCAGCATGTCCCTGGCTCCTGCTAGAGCCCGTGCCTGCCCTGACCAGCCACACGTGGCCACAGCCACTCCTGTGTCATTACCAACAGCAGCAGCAGCAGCAGAAAGCCAGCACAGGTCTGAGCTCGGCGAGGCCAGTAACCGGAGTGCGTGCGCCGGAAGGCCCGAGCCTGGCTTTCTTTTCTGGTCTCGTGTGATTTCCAAACGACTTACAGTAACACGAACGGACAGACCGCTGAGTCTGATGCAGTCGGGCAGAACCTGAGGCGACTACCTTTTTTTTATTAGGAAGGCTTTGCTTATATTTCTTAAATCACATCGAGTTAGAAACACTCCATGTAAGTTTGCCTTTTAACTGGAATTGAAATATAACTGATAATTCTTTCAGGAAAAAAAATGGTTCTTTCTGATTTTCTTAACTGCCCTGAGGCTAGGTAAAGATGAAATAAAAGCAGTATATGCTTCCTCACCGGCTGCCCGGGGTCGCCATCCTCGCCCTTGTCACCACCAACACCATCTTGACCCTGTAATGGGAACAGAAAATGAGCCCAATATTTCTCACTATTGATTCACTTTGATCTGAGAAAAGGGAATAGTAACGGTCCTAGTCCTTGAGCTAAATTATTACCCGGAGGACACAGTATTCTGCTCTTTCTGTTGTTCTTTTAAGGACTATGGTATCTCTCGCTCTTTCCATAAAGATTTGTGAAATTGTGACCGCATCAAATTTAAAATGTAGTATGCTCTTTTTAATAAAATTATTTTTATTGATGAAATGTATTACAGATGTCCCCCGTTTTCCCTCCCACTGTCCCCCCAGACTTTCCCTGCACTATTGTCTGTGTCCATGGGCTATGGACTATGCCTGTAAGTTCTTAATCTCTTCCCACCGCTCTCCGTTCCCTCTGAGGTAAGTGATGATAATTTTCTGTAACTATTAGCCATACAGACACTGGGAACATCCCCCCCTACCCCCCCCCCCGGGTTATTTTCCACGTTACTCACCGCAGGGCCGGGCTCCCCGGGAGGACCTGGGTCTCCAGGAAAACCAACAGGACCCTAGAAGGATGTTTCCAGAGGGAAGGAAATAAATGAAAACTATTTTTTAGTATTCTGACGTTTACGAGGTACAAGTCATGGTATGTCCCCGTGAGAATGTCTCCCTTCTTCTCTTAGCGCAGCTATAAGTGAAGGCAGTCCCTGGAGGCTGGGGGGAGTGTATGCAATGATGAACAGTCAGTCCCATGATTTCTCGTCTTCCTGCGAAAAGCTCCACAGTGGCCTTGACTCCGGTGCCACTTGGAAGGGACCCACTTACCGGGTTGCCTTTCGGGCCATCGTCCCCAGGCGGCCCCTTGGCGCCGGGAGGTCCAGCCGCGCCGGGGGGCC